AAAGGCAAAACGAGGCCTACTTACAAAACACCGTTTGCTTCAAGAAAGTCGCCAGCCGCTTCTTTTGTCAGCTAATATCACGGGATCGGTCCTAAGTAAACGGGTCGATTGGTGGCCTTTGTGATTCGAGGTCAGGAGACGCAAGAACACCAGTGACACGTTTCTACTGGGTCACTTTGAATACCTACTATTGTCTTTACTTGAGAGAAACCTCGCACGTATTTGATAGAACATTTCTAAAGTTTCCCCTACAGTAAGAAAAATAGGTTGAAACCTTGATAGGACCCTGACAACTTTGTTCCTCTCTATTGCTGCACTTTTGTCACTATAGCAGGTGTTGCTGTATTTTAGGGGAAGAGAGAGGGGAAGTAAGGAATCGAATATAGTTTTCTTTAAAATTTAGGGAAGAGTATCCAACGTTCAGAGCCAGTCCAGCTCTCACTCAAGTTATGCCTATCCCTCGTCTTCGGGTCTGTGGTTTGAGTCTTGGTGAGAGCTCTAAAAAAATTTCGGCTATTTATTTCATTTCAGACAGCAACTTAATCTGATCAGGTCATTTGACAAGTTTCTATTCTATTGATAGTCGACCCGATATCATGGGCACCCTCGCTAACACCACTGAACCGCGCGTTTACTTGAAAATTGATTTCCCGTTCAAGTTCTTCAATTTTTTTGCCCTTCAGAAACTCGAGCTTCCTGCTGACTCGAATTTATTTCATTTCAGACAGCAACTTAATCTGATCAGGTCATTTGACAAGTTTCTATTCTATTGACAGTCGACCCGATATCATGGGCACCCTCGACTATATTCGTGACTATATTCGTGCTATCGGGAGTCAACTCGAAGCGATTTCCGCTTCAGTTCCTTGGGGTGATTTTCTACTCAGTTTTATGTTCAAAATAAACTGTACTGTAGTCCAAAACAGTGACTTTATAAAAAAGTCACGGATTTGACTACCACTTTAGTTCAGGTTTCGCTGGTTTACTGAAGATACGCTTAACTTCAGTTCATTTTATTTCCATGAAATCGGCTTCAGTGCCTCATTCCTTAGTCAAAACGTTCCTTATTCAGCCAACTTCTGCATACTGAAATAAAATGTGATCAAAATGAACCGAGCACAGAAAAGAATACTACACGCGCTGCCGTTACTGGCCGCCATTTACTGTCAACCTTCAATACCTCGAGCCTTTTTCAATTTCCCTCGAAGGTTCGTGCTATCGGGAGTCAACTCAGTCTATTGCCATTGTCAATCAAGATTAAGAGCAAAACTGTTGATTCAGATTTTGGGAAAACTCCAATTTCAAACTGCGCTACCTGCAACACGGACCGGCAAAAAATTCTCTCGGTGCTTCAAACAAATCGATATTTCTAAACTTCAAGGTGGGACGTCATGAAAATATTTAACAAATTTAAATTTAAAACAAGAAGATTCTCATTTACCTTGCTCTGATGCAGTTTTCGTTCCTATAACCACAAAATCTTCGCGTGAAGCAATTTCAATGATTTACTTAAAGTGACCTTTTTACAAAAGTGTTTATCGGGTTCACGTGTTTTGACTATGAAAGTAAACACGTGAGTCCACTCCAGAGAGTGATTTCATTTTAAAAAATGTTATTTCTGATTTAAGAACCATTATTTTTTTGTTTGCGTTGCCAAATAGTTATAATCGCATCTGTGCAAAGACCAAGAGAGTGTTGCGACACATAACCAGGAGTGACCAACGAAGAATATATCTGATTCCTTCACAGGGATTCGACTCGCTGATTTTCCTTCCATCGGAAATGAAAATCGAGCTTGGGTTGGGCTGAGACACATGTGCACCAGGTGACAAGTGTAGTGCTAATGCGCTTTTTCCGGTACGCCCCTCAAAACAATTATTGAACACCGAAGCTAAAATGATCGGAATGCAGGTCTGACGCCGTTCCGAAGCTTACAAAACTGGTACGGCGCATCAATGGCAAGGTGTTTGGAGCTAAAACAAACCTCAGTTAGCGAGTGTCTGCCGCATTTACTTACGTAACATGATAATGGCGCCTGGTTCAAGCAGGGGTCTCGGTCACGTGCTGAGCCTGATGTTCTATCCCGCCATCTTCGAATAATTTTGTCGCAAAACTTTATCATCAGTATCCAGACCCCTTTCGCTAAATTCAATCAGGCTGACTGGTGTTGAATTATGGGAAACAAATGCTATTATTGGCCAATATTCATCATGCTCTGACGATGACGACTAAAGAGGGATATCGAGATGCTTACATTAGGCAAACTTGAATTAAGAGTAACAACTACCTATCATTAAAAATTATTTACAAGCTCGCAACAGAAATTCGACCTGTAATCGTTTTTCTGAGTTGCACCAACGTACACGAGTCTTCTCTTTTCAAGTTTCACTCCCAAGATCTCATTAGTAACATACATACATACATAAGCTTTATTTATCCTCGGATTTCAGTGTAGCTTACAAGCTAGTATCTCCGATCCTAATTACTAATTTTAAAAGTTACAGCAAGAACAAGGCTAAAAAGAGAAAAAAATAATTCATAATATAATAATATAATAATATAATAATATAATAATATAATAATCATTAATATAATAATCATTAATATAACAATATAATGTAATATTAATGTAATATTAACAGAAACCGTGCACTAACAGTTTGCGCTTAAATTCACTATAATCTACAGTCTTTCTAAAGTGGTCAGGGTGGGAGTTCCAGTACTTAACAGATGAATAGATAACAGAATTTAGACCATATGTGGTTGTAAACGGCTTAGGAAGTGATAAAATATTGGTGCCCCTTAGGGAGTAAGCAGTAATTCTCCTTAATGTCTTTCATATAACTCTCATAAAGTTAGTTTGAAGAATTTGGTATTTGATCAACTAATTATCCCCTACTTTAGATTTTTCTTTATTCTCTTCACTTGTCTGCTTGATATCGTATTGATATCACTGTAAGGAGACATTCTGTCCTTGTCACTCTTGGGAGTTAGTGAGGTTAATAACGTAAATTTGCAGTTCAAATATCTATGTCAATTATCAGATATATCGGAATAGACCAAGATAAATTAAAAATTCGTGGAACTCACAGACGGCGGTATTTCAGTGTCTCCCACGCTTTCAGTAAGGAATATCAGACCGGCTTTTAAAATATTGATATTTATAGTATAACGTCTAATCATAGAAACCAAAAACCGCTAACTTTGACAATCAAGCCTTCAAAAAAATTGCAGTTTTCTCAGATGGTAAATTCATTGCTTGTTTCCTCTGCCTCGACCGCTTCATCCTTTAGTTTCCGCGTAGTCTCCTGGTTTGAGGTTTTTTTTTTTTTGTTTTTTTTTTCAGAGTTTATGACCCAGTAGAGAGATTTTTCCATGTGACAAGTTCTGTCTCGTCTCCAGAAGTACTTGAGCTATACCCTGGCGGAGTTTCTAAAAGCTAATCCGCTAAGATTGGCTTGATGTTAAAAGGACAACTCTTAAGAGCTTTGTTTACAAGCACGCACGAAATGATTTTACAACCTGATAACCTATCTAACCTGAAAAGAGAGCCTTTGTTTGCTGCAGCAAAGTAGGATTGAATAACAGAACCCCAGTTGTGGAAAAAAGGGAACTTTACAGCAGAATTCCCATGCAACCGCGTGGGGCAGGGCTAAAATAATTTTCTTGATCAGCAGGAGCCATAGAAAACGTTTCGTAAAACTTTCCATTGCTCAGCTCTCATAGCTGGAATGCTGACTTGTGCTGCTAAATATGTTTTCGACCCTTCTTCCAGTGAGTTTGAGAATGAAATTTTTGAGCGTGACTGAGCAAGATGTAACGAACCCACACCATATTTTACAATTCGTTTCTTGACATTTCTCGGTTGTTAATTTTAGCCGTTTGTGAAGTTAAAAAAACCCTCGACTTTGCCATTTGTTTCTCACGCTGTTTCGGTGACTGATTTATTGTTTGTTTGCTGCTTGCCGCCAAAAGCCCGGAAGCTATTTGATAAAACAAAACAGCAGGAAATTACCGGAAAGAAAATATTCTCTTCATCGATGCCAAGGCCGGAACAAATGGGAGGAGGTCCGCGCGACAAGCATAACCGTGAGAACTCACGCAAGCTGCGCCAGTAGGTGACAGCCAGTGTGAAAGTTCCCAGAAAGTAATCCGGCAGTCGCGATTCCAGAAGAGGAAAGTAACGTGCTCGCTTATTTCAATCTCTTTTCTTTAGTTTTTTTACTTCCAGATTATAGCAGACTAGGAAAATTTTAAAAAACTGGGAAGACACTGCTTTATAAAAAGACATGAAAAATTTCCGAAATTAATCCAAAATTTAACAACCGTTTGACCCTAAAGAGAGATACCAATTGAGTTTGCATAAATTTGCAAGCTAAACGAAATTTTCAAAGATGGTCCAATATATCCCAAAGGATTCGGACGAGCGCACAAGCATTCTTGCTCAAATTTCACTCGATTTGAGGAAAGCTAAATACGAAGGCAGTCCGTTTTAAGCTTTCTTTAAAAGGAAGGGAAGAATTCTGGAGTTTAACAGTTCCTCTCTGTAACTTTTAACCCAGTATGTGCCCAATGTGCATAAATTAATTTGGTAAAGAAATTTTCACGAGGTCCAATATTTTCGCGATTATTCGAGAGAGATCACGACCTACATGTACTACCTTAGTCATTAATTAAAATATTAATTTTAGCAAGCAGTGGTCTTTTTTGGCACGTAATTTCGCCAGCGGCAAAGAAGGGAAACCACTTCTGTTTCTTAAAATATCTGACAAAAAAAAATGGCCATGTCCGACGGCTAAGTAACGCCTTTCGGAACCGAAATAGGCATGAAGGAAATATCGAATTGAAGGATTTTTTATCAAAACGTCAGTTTGATATCGCGTAAGTTCTTTCTCTCTAGTTCCTAAAAAGACAAAATTTAGGGTACATTAGTGGTTTACTCCTAAAGAGTTAAAACGCGACCAAACGAACCTCTCCCTTAATCTCGTGCCTTCGCGCGTTTTGCAATGCTAATCCACTGACGTAATATCACTCACGGCCATTTGTTGCCTACGTGACGTGTGTAATTGATCTTTTGTAGGCGTCACTTATGGGCGCCTTCTCAGTTGTATAAAGAGCCGATTCCAAACACGTTCGGCATTTAAGTGCCTAGAAGTCGAAGGTGCTTTTAAGAGACAGGCGTTGAGGAAGCTTTGAATTTTCAAAGGCACACATTGTCGAAGCACCATGCAGGATTTGGTAACTAATACAACTTCGCCCGAAGGATCTCCAGCGCAGAAAAAACGAAAGAGAAACAGCCGGCGAGTCCCTATTGATATGATGTTGCAAGTCCAAATCGCCGCTATAAGACAGCCAAAGGAAAGAGAAGCTTTAAAGAAGCGATTGAGAAAACAAATTACATGTTGCGAGATAAATGAAATAACTACTTCAGGACTCACGGCACTCAATCAGTGCGTTTTAGACGGAAATTTGGAGAGCGCTAAAATGCTGGTCGAATTAGGAGCAGACGTTAACAAGAAGGATAGATTCGGTTGGACCGCTCTGCATTACGCGGCCAGCGAAGGTTACGAAGCAATCTGCCGGTATCTCTTAAGGAACGGTGCGAATGTCAGGGCTGAAGATAAAGAAGGAAAATTCCCCGTGGAAGTTACGGACGATGAACTTATTTTAAAACTTTTATTGAGGGCGACTTTGCTATACAACATGCCCCCGTTAGACAAAGACTCCCTGCAGCATAGCTGCTGATGCGTTTGTTATTATTGTTGTTTTGGCTGAAGCAGCCACTATGTTGCTTTGCTTGTTTTGGAGATGGTATTGCGTTCTTATTCTGCGAGCGGAATCAATTTAGCTTGGCAGCGAACCGTACGCCGATTGAAGTCAGTCACGCAGATTTTTGCTATCCAGCAACATCGTGGCAAGAAGATATCTTAAGCTCAAAGCGAGTGAAAGACTCTTGCAAAGTATGCAATGAATCAGAGAAACATTAGAGAATTCGGTAATGTGTAAATATTGTTTTCATACTTGTACGATAAGAGATCTTTTTTAAACAAATGGATGCCAAATGTAAGTCAAATGGCCATTCCATCACGTTTAGTGGAAATATTTCCATTTGTTGCCCAATTTCCTATTAAAGGTAATTAACACATTTGGTGAAATGTTGACCAAAAGTAAATTTTAATTGAAAAATTATCTTAAGGCGGAGTTTCGTTACCCAAAATGAAGAACTCGTTAGGGTTTAGTAGAAAGGTTAGTAGAAATGCAAAACAAAAAAAGGTGTCTGTTTTGTTTCATGATTGTTTTTGTTGTCGTGAAAGGTCGGTCACCCGTGAAAGCTAAACAACGAAAATAACGCGAAGCAATATCGGCTCAATTTTGTTATCTTTGAGAGCGGCCGTGAGGCCATGAAATTTTATCCTGTTTCGTTCTAACGAAAAAATCGAGTCATTGAAACGCCTTTTCATTAGCGCCTCGTTGACAAGGAAAAAACAATCTTGGAAGAAAATGCTTGAAACTGCGAAAGGGGATAGAGGAAGGAAGCCATACTATCAAACTATCGACTGAAGCCACAACGAAAGTGAAATTTCCTGTGACTTTCGCGTTTTGTTTCGAACACTTGATACCTCAGCGTGAAGACTAGAGCTTCCTGTCAAAGCTGTTTCCTACAGCGAACAAAAAATGCTTTGTTTAAAGTTTTCCTGGTTCCTAATTTTAAAACCAGTTTGGCTCGCGATTGAGTTGATTTTTCCAGTCCCCTGACGAAAAGATACTACTAGCAGCTTGCACTCATCATTGTTGTCAAATTGAATGAAATGTAATTGTTCTGGGACCTCTGGGACGTAGGTTTAACCTTGGTTTTTTTAATGTTTCTTTTGAAAGCCGATTTTCCCGTTTCCTATTTCATTAGGGTAATTAGTTTATCAAGTCATGCTGATGGCAACAGATTTGTTCATCAAAATCTCTGCCAACGCTATCAAGAATTTAATGAATGGCCTTTTAACGCGAAACGTTGGGCACAATATTCTGCACAAAGACTTCATCTGATATTCGAATAAAGAGAAGTCGTAGCATAATATTATATTGTACATAAACGTAATCTATTAGATCATGTTTTTGTTCGATATGAAAATGACCTGGAATTTGATAGTGTGTGCTCGCGGTAGTTTTACACAAACATCAATATACCAAGATATATTTGTATTTTTCGGTCTCTTTGCTCTACATTTTTTGCCTGTTTCTGGGTAAGGATTTGCTTCAAACAACAAACATACAAATATATTTAATACTACCGCTATTTTAGTGAGGTGTTGGAATGATTCCTAATTTAAGTCGGTTGTGTTAACAGCAAACCAACCCCCTAAATTCCAACTCATCCTCGAAACTTAGAGAGCGGAGAGGACGCATCGTTACAAAAGTATAATCCAATTTATTTATCTAAATGCTGCTGCTATCTTTAATGCGATTGCTCGCATTTACTATTACAAAATGTCTTGTAGCTGTTTAGATACTGCTTGCGGTTTCCTTCTTTTACCTTTTTTTTGTCACGAAAGAGGTTATATGCTTTCTTAGTAAGACAAACATAAGCTGATGGCGAGTTTGAACTAGTGGTTGCTGATTCGTTTTGTCACACTTTCGCCGGCTAGTTTGAAGTGCGCCAATAGACTTTTGATGATAGTTTTACAGGGACCAAGAAAAAAAAGGTTTGCGTGTCTAAGGAGTCGCTAATACCTCTAATTTTCATGGCACAAGGGCCCACCAAGAAAGAGATAAACACTGCTGCGTAGTTTCACTCATCGCTTTGTCTTTAACGTCTTCCATGAGAGGGGGATCAAAGATTTCCGAGCTGGAGAAGTACCCAAGAACTTAAATTAAAAACCCCTTGGGTCGTTGATCTTAAATTCAGTCAAATTTGCTTTATTTGCTTTATTTGCTCCCTTGGGCACTTCTCAATCAGCGAAAAGATTGCTCTGACACGAATAAGGAGGGTGAAGGTTTTTATTAATAAACGGAAGCATTGGTCACAGAAATCTTACCTTGTGTCACAGTGGTTTTATGCTCCAGACAGCATGTCTGGTGTTGATGAAAGATAAACAAATAAAAGCCCAGCTAAATCTAAGGGGATAAGATTTTTGCCGAAGTTCACATATTCAATTGAAAAAAGAATGACCATATTTACACAGCATGAACAAATTTTGGAAACGTTTACTGATATGAAACTAGATCGGACAACTGGATTCAAAAAGTGACAGTAAGACCTCGACTAGTTAATTGGTTTTAGAGGATCTGAGTCACGATATATTAAAAAAAAGCTTTTTCTACGACCAGCAACCTCACTTCCACCGCGAAAGAAACCTAAAAATATTTGCCTAGTGTGATAAAAATGTAGCAAAATAATGAGGATGGGCCAAAATGGGACATGGACTCAAAGATTCAGACAGCAGTCTGCAAATGGCGACCTTCTGAAAATTAGGCTTCATGCCCCACGTCTAGGAATGACATACAGCTTTCACCATCACGTCATTAAATACGTTCTTCTCACTTGAAATTACACGCATTCCTTTTCAATATCATTCTACTAGTTCGACATACTTTGAGTTTCTCCTAACAATAAGGATATAAGATGATTTTTTTAAAATACACTCACATTTTGAGATAAAAATTGATAGATGAAGCTGTTGTACTTAGGAATCAAATATTGGCCCAGAACTAAAATAGCTAGACAAACTCGTTTGTTAGAATTAGCAAAATTGTTCACATATTATCATAACAAAAGCCTTGAGCACATGATATATATAAATCTACTACAAACACTTTACTTCAAGAAGCCTATATTTCTAAGAACAGCGTCCAAAGAAGAGCGCATGTCCGGCCAACTTTTTTTTAAAAACGTACCGACAATCGATGTATTATTAAGTGTTCGTGCGGTCTTCTCTGTTTAAAAATTAGTTCCTACATTTGTAAAATTACACTGTAAAATATTTCTATTCAAACGATCACGCAAAGTTTCGACAACATAAAAAAGAACAAAGCAATGATAGTTCTAAACAGCTATGTACTCGCACAAAGCAAACAATATTTTTTTAGTTAACAAAACATGCGCCGACGTTACTCATGTCATCTTCAGTTGCCAAAGCCACAATTTGAATTCCACATTTACGTTATCGAATTACGAGCTAAGATTTACGCTAAACAGATTCGTTATCTATTTGAATAAAATATCACGGAAGCACAAGAGGTATTTCGAACCAAAACAATACTAATACGACAAAAAATAGGCAAAATAATTGTAATACACATATATAAAAAAAGAGAACTACACAGAAAGAGATAAATCTATGTGTTTAAACTGTTGGTTTAGTATTTGATTTTCCCATACATGCTCTTTCTTTTGCTTGAAAGATTCCGCACAGCATGAGTTATTTTTTCCCGTTAATCTTTTTATTACAATATCAACTCTTGAACTTGAACCAAAAATAAATAACACTTAAGTGCTCGGAATTTTTTAATTCGTACTATTAACCATAATTTTTTAACCTTGGTAATTACGAACAAAGTTGGTGGAAATGACAAAAATTTTCTCAGTTAAAAAATTTGAAATCCTGCAGCGATCTTTCCACTTTCTTTTCTTCTTTTGCTTTGTTCGTTGATGAACATTTTCTTTCCTTCGTGTTCAAGGTAATTTCGCCTGCCAAAATAGAACACGACCTAGATATATATCCACATATAAGACGGAATTAGTGAGTTAGTGCCTTTTCAAAAAAGTTTATTAGAACAGGGTTACACAGTAATTTTAGGGCGCATTTTGATTGGTTGTCATGAGAAATACCTTACTAATCATGACGCCAGCCAATCAGAAAAAGGAAACATCTCGATGTAAAAACGAGCAAACTACCATAAGCGCGGGAAAACGCTGTGATAGACTAAGTAGGTGGCGCGAGATTTTTTGGACCAATCACTGGGCATAGTACAGCAACACCAATGCAATCCCCAATTACTTTCAGTTGACGAAAAGCTATGAAAACAGCCGAAACAGTAAATGAAAAGCTACGAAAACAGCCGAAACAGTAAACGAAAAGCTACGAAAACAGCCGAAACAGTAAACGAAAACAGCCGAATGTCATGCAGTTACTTGTTGACTAACTTGCTTTCTAATGCGCCGATTACACAAAAGGAAAGTTTGTTTTAAACGAGACGAACTTTCCCTCAATAATCAAAAGCTCATATCATCATAGCTTTATTATCGGACGTTATCTCAACTACTCACAAACTCACAATTACGTCAAAGATCATGCGACTCCTTAAAAGAAACCGATCGCAAAGGCGCCAGTGATGGAAGAATAACACCCACGGTACAGCGGCATGTTTCATTCAAGATACGCCCGGCAGTGTGATACTGATCACCAAAACTTACCAAAGCAGAGATTTATCACAAAGAACAGATCCCGCTTGAATAAGATTGATGACTAAATAAAGGAGACACCATATCATCATTTTTAAGTGCGGTAAGACATACCATTGTTCTCATCATGCGAAAAGAATCGACTTGAAGACATTTTAAGATTCATCAGTTGAAACAAAACAAGTTGTAAAGACGCAGTACAGAGTCGCATATCAACCACAACATTGATTTTTCGGCCTCTTCATTTCCGATCTGTGGCGGGCCAAAATCGACGGGAATCATTTTACAAAGGGTCAGATATTGATTTGATCGTTTGAACCCTCACGTGCGATAAAACAAAGCATTGAATTTTTTTTTGTTGTTTTTGTTGTTTTTTTTGTTTAACTGACAGATTCAAGTATTTCCGTACCAAGATTACGTGTTTTGAATTACGTTTGTAAGGTCTAATCGAAAACAAAGCGAAACAGAGAGAGTACACAGACTAGATTGATAGAGCTAGATAACAGAAACCGATCGTCATTAAAAACCTCATTTCTAAGTTAGTTTCCGTGCGGAGTGATTCAAGTTATTTTCCAGCTTCATGTGGATAAAAGAAGCAACAGAAGACATAGTTTTTATCCATACACCTTCACAGGCGACCGCAGCTTATTTGACTTAAGTTTTCACCGCTTACAAGGTGTATGCGATAAGTTTTAGCCATGATGTTTTCGCAGTTGTTTATGATACTGACTTCGTAATCGTGGAAATTTTCGTTCTAGAATCACTCTCCAGTCATCTTTTGACCGTACTATAGATGATATTATTCTGAATACTTACTAGATAGCAGAGGTTTTCCAGTTGTGCCCCTTTATCGGGTGGCTGCTAAATTTTGACGTTTTATCTTGCACTAATGCAAAACGTCTGAATTTTTATTTTTTTTTAAGATTGCATCACATTCTTAAAATTCTCATTTTTCGGATAGTCATCATTCTAGAGTTTTGTGCTTGCTTGCCTGCCAAGTGAGGCAAAAGGTGATTCTCTTAGTACTCCATCCTTGCTATTTTTCATACGCAAATTACTCTGTTATTAAGCTTAGACTGTAGTTTCTCGTCTCTGAACAGGGTCACCCTCTGCCTCACTCCTAGTTAAAGGCCTGGAAAATAAGCACACAAAGGTAAAATGGACTAAGGGAACAAAAATATATTTTCTTGATTTACCAAAACGCGATTGAGATTTACTTCTTTACTTTTCCCATCGTGGCACAAACGTCAACAGAAACGTAGAAATTGTAATTAAGAGACTAAGTATTGAATAAGTGTCGTATTACCAGCCAATGCACTATAAAAGAATTGTTTTACGCTAAAAGAAAGTGGCTTCCATTTAAAAGAACATCACCTTTTCAATCGAACAGTTTTAGTACACAGAGACATAGAAAGTAGAAGACAGTAGAGGTGGAGGCGTGATTTATTAATTGAAGTCGATATCGCTATAAATTCATTTCATACCATTTGATATTAAAACATCTCAATATAAAAGACTAAATTCTCTTTCGCTTATGCTATTTAAATCTCCTTAAATATTACATATATTGCTACCGAAGGTCAGGAAATATTTAATTAATTATCTTTCCATATCATCTTGTCCAACGAAGTATCATCAAAATTCCTGGCGCAAAAATTTTAGGTTCCAAAAGAATGTTCCTGATGGAAACAGGCATTTGATGTTTTAAGAGATTTCTTTACAAGATAGCCAATCCAAATTATCAATCCAAAGGAGTTAATAAACGTCATTTAACTTTGTCAGGGCATCCAGTGGATTTAGTCAATAGTGTACCAGTCCCTCCTCTTGCAAAGCCAAGTGCAAAAAGGAAATAATTACGCGTAAAAATTCTAACCAAATATCTCTTGTGAAAAGTGAGCAGAGCGGTTTATAACAAGTAACTGGTTTGCTGAAAGTATTAGTTAAATAATATTTAAACAGGTGCAGCATTGTATTTAACTGGAAATCAGACTACAAATAAAATCCCCCCGAGCAACGACCAAACAGCGCATACCTTACAATTATCTCCTAATTTTTCAGAGCGTTAAAAGCCGCCCGGAACCAGACCGTCACAGCCAATGCTCCTGGGTCTGGCTTATTCAAGTGCTTTTCACTAACGTAACTGGATCGACCGGCTCGGGCTGACATGGCGGAGGTAGACTGGGCACCCAGCTCAGCAGCCTGGAAAGGGAGGTAAACAATAGCGTTGAAACTTCGTTGATGCAAGTCAACTGTGACGAACAAAATTTGCTTGGAATAACCAGATTTAACCCGAGTCAAGGAATTATTCTTCGAGTGATTTAAATATCTTCCTGTATACCTCCACAGCCTTTTCCACTGCCTCCAATGGGTCAACACCTGAATCGAGCTCTGAGATCAAAGTTGATCCTGCCGGGTGCAACGCGTCGAGCTATGAAGAAGACATGAATAAAAAATTAACAACAAAAATTTAAAAAGTGATTCTACAAGCAAGTAAACATGGCGGCAAAACCCTATGGCTAAATTCTTTGAAGAAATGTTCTCAAGTGTTCTTTAGTTTTAAGCATTGGGAAAACATCACGAAATTATCACAGGAGAAATGTAAAGGCCTGACGGTTTAGCAATTTGTCGAGCCGGTATGAGTAGTCCTCAACTTTTCTTCTCTATAGGAGCGCAGAAAAAAATATTCATCTTGCTACCTGGAGGGCTGAAGCCCTGCAAGACAGTCCTAGAAACTTTTAACCATTTTTGGCTTGGACTCTTTTTAGAAACGCGGAGCGTTATACCTCGAAACTTCTTTTCATTTTGGAATCCTGGGTGAAACGACAATGATAAATTAAGACCACCAATTAAGAGGATCTTTATTAATTTGTAGTCTATGGTCAATCTTCGCATAACTATTTGAATTTGTCAGACAAGTTTGGGTTTTGAACAATTTGACCTAAATCAGAAATTTTGACAATCAGGACAAATCACAAACCATTGTACGGTCCCCAGGCTCCGCTCCGCCATACCTAACGATGAAGAAAAAGGAAAATTTTGCTCATGAGCTGAATAACTATTCCTTTTCAAATGAAATTTCGGGGTTCAAAGAGATGTATTCAAGGATCGGTCACATATTAACCAACTCCTTTTCTGTTCGTGTTCGTGTCTGAAGCGAGCCCTCTTCGGTTGATTTTCTATGGACAAATTTTTCTAACTTGTTAACATCCTTATTTCCAGCCATATGAAACCGCATACACAATTTAAACCAAGTGAAACACCACGTGATTTGAATTAGGAAGCATCAAAAACCTAAACACATCAGGCGAATCCCTCCACTGGATAGCTATCATTGGTTATATCTGATAGCCGGTACATTACTACTGTGACAACTTTGAACGTACCTCATGATGGCCTGGACACCAGCCTCCCAAGCTCGAGCCCAGGACTTTGCGGCTGAGTCACCCCTGAGATGAACTGTTCCAGACGTGAGAAAGAGGCTGTAGAACTGCAGAAGAATAAACAAAACAAGGATGACTTCACATTTCTTACCTCATTTACCTGCCAACTTTTTTAGGAGGAAAGGCCCACAGTTATTATCCCTTGAAGGCCAGCATGTTCGTTATGTTTACCGAAAAAGTTCAGAATATTTGACTCAAGATTTGACCCAAGAAAAGGTTTCGGTCAATGCACGATCATTTGCATGGACATTCTTCCTCGATATATAAAACTGAGTTTATTTCACGCATCTTTCAAAATTGAGTCATAAGCTCTAATTTTTGTGCTACGCGAGAGAAATTGATCGTTATCTAGGTGAGCAGGGATTAGTCGGAGTTTATGATCCACAGGCATGAGGATTGGCAAGTAATAATTATCTGTATGAAAGATTTGGCAAACTCTTTAAATCACCACGAAAGGAGAAATCAAATTTTCAAATATTTCGTATCTATTAATACTGGTGAAAAAAGCATACGAAGTCCTTTATCAACTTTCTACACAACATCAGTATGCATATTTTCAGTGCTGTTTTCGATACATTTCCTGAGGTGCCGACTAGGAGAGTTTGCTCAACAATCAAGAGCTTCTTTAGTTGGTGATCGCTTCCTTTATTCTCATGACCTAAATGCGCGATTCGGGGTTGAAATTGTGGAGAGAAATTAGATACTAGTCACTCTTAGGCGTCAAAGGATTAAAGATAACTAACCACGCCAGAACTTCCACCCATATGATCCTCACACAAACTGGCAAGTGATAACAAAAGCTTTTCTGGATGGTTACATGGCAAACCTGGGGCATCCTGTGTTCCTAAGGCTTTCTTTATGGCTGGAAGTAATAAAATAATAAAAAAAAGGATTACATTTGATAAAGTAAAACCGAAACTTTAGTAGGTGACTGTACGCGAAGATAGTTCGTCTAATACTGATTTTCCTCCGAAGCAAAATTAGAAGCTGTGTTATTATGGATTGTGGCGGTTATAAGGAAGGCTAGGGATGTAGGTACTGTGAACTGCGGCTCCGCTAGTATGGTTATAGTGAGTTACAATATGTCCAACAAATATTCGATGGCTCGTACCTGAGGCTCCCCGAGAAAGGGTGGTCCCACAGTCTCCGTCGCCAGCAAGGTTATCCAGTTCATTCAGATTACTCTCAGCAGCATTGAGGGCATTAGTTACATGACTAATAACGGCATAGACCTTTTCCCCTGGATACAAAAAGTCACGGTGTGTGTGATTAGAAGAAAACTACCGCACAGTGTAAGTATAGGAGCAGTTTTCAAATGAGTGTGTGATTGGACCAGAAAATTCGCGCCACTTTCTCAACCAATTAGATACAACCTGGTCGCCCACGTTTTCCCGCGCTTTAGGCAGTTCAGTTGTTTTTACTCTGAGTTCTCACTGGCTCTCAACGGTATTTCGCTTTCTTCTGACTGGCAGTTGTGATTAATTTGGTCTTGGCTTAACGACACTCAATCAATAAACGGCTATAAGCAAACACAGCCCACCTAGTGCGGTCAGCTTTTCTGAGGAAGTCTCCTTTTTTTCTTCTGCTGCATTCATGGGAATTTCAAGAGGCTGCTTGTCAATTCTCATAAAGCCTGAATTTGTAGATACTGAAACTCGTGGCCATGCTGGTGCAGTTGTGCTTTGATCTGTGCAGGAAGTATATGCATGTTTTGATGTAAACACCAAATGGATTTTAAAAAATCATATTTTGTGGGAAATGTAGAAAATGTTTAATTCCACAATAAGTGTTCATAAGGTAAATTAAGCTGTCTGCCACACCAAATTGGCTCACACAGCCCATATTTTATTCCAGTTTTTGCAACATGAATTAACTCTTTCACTCCCAAGAGTACCAAAAAGGAATTTCACCTTAGAATATCAATGAATATACATGGAAAAAGGAAATGAGAGAAAAAAAATTTATTAAGGTAAACCGTTTGATTCACACTAGCCTCTCAGAGCTAAAATAATAAGAGATGTAGAGCAGACAGTGACAACAATTTACATTTAGATCTTGGAGAGACATTGTTGAGCCTTTGGAGGTAATGCTCCTCATCCCAGATCAGAATTAGTCAATAACTATTCCACCCCACCCCACTGCCCCCCATACCTCATTTCACCAAAATTCTTGGACCATTCACTTGCCATTAATATTCCAGTAGATTAAAAAAACTAAGGAGTTATGTGTCTTGCCAGAACAGAGCACAATGACTCTGCCCAGCACTCAAACTGCCCATGGCCCATAGCTAACTCATCTCCCACATAAAAATTATCAATTGAAAGAAAAAAAAGAAAATCATTTGCAACAATTACTTACTTATCTTATTCAGGAGATAATTAACTTGATTGTGAGTGGGGGGGGGGGCGGCAAGAAAGAACTAAATTACACAGGAATATTTTTCTGCTGAGGAATAAAATTATCATTATGATGCATTAATGATCAGGTTGTTGCAAGGAGACACTTACCCAAACAATCCACCCTAGTTTTGTCCAAGTGAAGCAAAGTGATTGATACTCCAGCCATTTCTAATGAGGTCATAAAACTTCCAACATAAACCCGATCAACTTTCACCTCTTTCCCTTGAGCTGAGTAAAAAAAAATTCAGATTTTGCTATATAAAAAAAAGGAATACCTTGCAATCACCTGGTAGCTGTAGAAAAGGTGCTCTCATGTTATTCCTTTGCAAAAGAGACATTGGCTTATTAGAGAGTTAGAGAGTTGGGTATCCTTCAGAGGATCATGTCCTCTTCAAAAGTGATCTAACTACAATATTATTGCTTTTAGGTGGGGCATGTTTTGTTGGCATTTCATATCCCCTTTTCATTTATTTTGAGGGATCTTCAAGGCCATTTCCTGAAGAGATACATTTTGCAGTAATTGTACTATCTACCAAAGATAATAATTGTAGCACACATATTTCAGAGCCAAAAAAAAGGGAAGTTTGGATCCATAACTTACAGTACAGACTGAGAAAACAATGTGAGTAAGAATTTCATCTTTGGTTTCAAATAGAAGGGGAAGATTTCAATTCAATTGAATTTAGCTGGGCATGCAGTGAAATACAGCCTAATTAAATTGACTAATCACAGTGCACATACTCACTGAGGGACATAATAAAATAATAAATATATATAGAATGATCCCCTGGGTCTTATATCATTTCTGATGAGTTGCCTGCTAATGGAAGACTGATGGCATGACTGTCACCATAAGAGGCTGTTATCAAGAGAATTTTCATCAGCAATAGTTCTCTCAGACTACATACTAAGGTATGTTATGGCTGCCCTTGCAACAATGTTTAACTCCAGAACAGATGTTCCTCCAAGATTATTTACTACAAGAGCCACCCTGTCACCTGTTGAACATCAAATCAAAATAAAATTGTGAGAATGTTGTAAAAAAAATGGCAAATTCTCATGTACTTTATAGTTTTGATTTAAATCAGTAAGACCTAATTCTTATAGTTCAGTATGTGAAAAAAGCCCAGTAACTTTGCCCTTATTAGCAAGTCAACCAGATGCTATTGAATCTCATGCTGTGGAATTTTAATAAGCTGACCCTTCTTTAGACTGAGCTTGTATGTTGCACCACTCTGAACATCTGACATGTGGTCAATCATGGTTTTGACAACTTGGTCTGCCTTTTCAAGCTGAAAAAAGGCAAGCACAGGATATCACTATGTAAATGTACAGTCACAAACATATCATTGCAAGTTATCAACAGACAAAGCAAAGTCAGCATTAGAGACATCCATCAACTAGAGGGCTAAATAACTTGGTAACAGGGTTTTTAAACTAGATTAGGCTCAGATAAATTGAGTGGACTCTTGCACTGGTCACTCCTAGTTAGCAGAAATTGAGGTGTAAGGGCAAATACTTTGTGCAGATTCTGAGTGCTATGATACAGAATCAATACAAAGAAACTCTGAGGCGTCTCTTTTTCAGCAGGAAAAGACTTGGCTCTTTACCTTTACCCTCTTGACACCAGGTTCTCCATGTATACCTGTGGAAAGCAAATTAACCCTTTAACTCCCAAGATCTGATTGTTAATTCTCCCCTTCAGCTTTTACACAATTCTTGGTAAATAAGTCAGGCGAATTTGGTATTAGATCAAGAAAACAACTTCTATCTGACGAGTTGGGTATTTTTGTTTGCTGTTTGCTGGATAATATATGGATGTTATTGGGAGAAGTTTCATGTTAATCACTTCTGGAGTTGAAGGGTTAAAGCCAAACACTATTTATAATGAGTAGAGTTTGAGAGTGAATAATCTTATTATTTACATAGAAGTCCTTTAAAACTCAACAACAAGACAGGTTCACGCTTTTATTGAATAATTATACCTTATAGACTCACTTTAGTCACTATACATACAGCAAGTAGCTTAACCAATAAGATTTTAATATTTATCATAGAGAGAAAGAAAATTCATACAGTATTAATATAACCATACAAGCTACAGTTTAATAATTTGCCTCATGTTTAGTCACATGTTGTGGGAGATGTAAGGGTCTGAAGATTAGAGCACTGGACTCTAGTTCGAGAGGTCTGGGTTCAAGACATAACTGGTTCAGAGTGTTTTGTTCTTGGGAAAAATACTTTTAACTACTCCCACAATGCTTCTCTCCACCCAGGAGTATAAGTGGGCACCAGTGAATCGTCGGGAAAGCCTGATGAAATGTTGGGGGGAGGGGTAATCTTGCAATGAACAAGCATCTCATCATTGCTTCATGCTGTGGAAACTAGAATAAAGCTCCTGCTAGATTGGCCACTTGGCACAAGTACAGAGCAAATTTTTAAGTAACATGCCAGTGCTTTATTTAAATTTTAAGGGGGAAATCACACAGAATCATCAATCTTGATGATATTAGAGATAAGAAAATGGAAAAGAAAAAGTCCTACCCAGTCCTAACTCCATCTCATCACTGCCCAATACAAAGGATGGCAAAGATCCTGGGAGACTGCATGGAGCCAAACTAACACCAATGGTACCTGATAAAGAATGTTGATAAGCCACGTAAAGCATGGAAAAATAACATCCAAAGGGTATGTAAGGTGCTTTGGCCTTTGATTTACTATGAATTTCCAGTCAAAAGCTGCTTGGTTTCTATATTAGGATGGCAAGATTTCAGAGGACAGATCGAGGAATTTACAATATGGGTGGGGAGGGTAGAATTAAAAGTTTGATTCAGAAAACACAGAAGTTTCTTATTCACTCTAAAGCCAAAAGCCTTGATCCCCATCCACCCCACCCACTCTGGATCTGCCATGTCTGGATTTTGGCATGTGCATGAATGCATAAAATATTAATTTTTGAGATATAAAAAGCCATACTAACAGCTCTGTGAGATGCAAACAAGAGAGAGGCATGGCCATAAGATTAATGTGCATTGACTGAGTTAGGTTCAGGCCCAAACAGAAAAATATGTGGCTCTCCATCATGATGTACATATTAGTCATACTCTAGCCAAGTATTTAATGGTCCAGTATCCTCATTCAGTCAATAAGTATACATTATTCACCCATGAGAAAGTTAGGATTAAGTTAGGTTAAATACCCATGGCTTGGGCTGCGGCCTTGGCTACTTGTGAGATTTCCTCAAGAGATTTTCCTTCCTCAGCCAGTGAACCTGCAATCTACAAATTGAAAATAAAACAGAACATTACTCCAATGCGTAAATACTAAATTTCATCATGCAAATAACCAGGACTCATGCTAAATTTTGCAAATCATGCGAGAGGGGGAGTTTTAAAGTAAGCTTATAGGCAAAAGAGGGGATAGTTAGACAAGGGGAATATAAAGTCTTTTGGTCTCTAATGGATTAGAATTCTCAGGATATACTGGTGGGGAGGAGGTAGTCTCTATAATAGCATCTTACTGCTTTAAAAAACAGAGATGGGAAGGGGAAGGGAGTGAGGGGGGAAGGGGAAGGGTTGAGGGGAGAAGGGAAGAGGGTTGAGGGGGAAGGGGAGGGGCTGAGTCACATGCACATCAGCTGAGCTTTTGTTTCATCCCAAGTTTACCTTATGGATCAGAACAGTTCCACAAAGCCCCCTCCTTCCTGCTGTCTTGTCCTTACTAGTGAGAGCACAGTCTTCACCAACCACCACCATATCGACTTTTATCCCCTCGGCCTTCGCCCTCTCAGCGGCAAATCCGAAATTCAACCTATCGCCAGTGTAATTCTTCACAATCAATAGCGTTCCTCCCCTGTTACCGAGTCCAACAGCTCTTATTGCAGCAAGGATGGATTTCGTTGGTGGAGAAGTGAAAACAGCTCCAGCCACAGCCGCTGTCAACATCCCTTTTCCAACAAATCCGGCATGCGATGGCTCGTGACCGCTTCCACCTCCTGAGATGAGGGTTACCTTTCCTGCCTTTCGTATTTCGTTCACATCCTCTCGGATAATAACCCGATAATTCTTTAGTAACTTTAACCCAGGATTGGCTAAAACGATACCTTCTAAAGCCTCATCTACCGCATCTAAAGGATCATTGATCAGCTTCTTGGAAGTGGTTGATTCTTCATCGGCTGCCATTTTGCCGAGAGAGTGAGTGGATTGCTAGATCGAGGTTAGCGAGACACGCGTGACATAACACTCGCGTGACATAACCGATTCGGATGACACGCAGGAAATTTCCCGTTTATTTTGCGTTTTTCAGCTTCTTTCTTTACATTTGTATCAGGAAAAGTCCAGTTTCTTATCATTTTGCAATTTGTAAAAAACTGACTGATCACAGCCCGCCTGATAACCGAGAGATTTAAAGATGAATAACACTTTTTAAGGGAAGCAATACATCACAAACGGTGTTTTTCGGTAATACAACGAAACCTTCACATTCCAACACTGTATTTCTTTCCTTATTTTCCAATTTTGTCCATCATAAATCATCAAGAAAAGGAAAAAATGAAAATAATCGATGATAGATGATCCAGTTACCCTCTTTACCCCGATTCAAAGTACAACGCGACAGATGTCTTTTTCACGTCACCTGATTACTTCTTTCTTGGATTCAAGTTACAGAAAAAAAACCGACATTGATTTGGAACAAATCCTTACTGATTTGTTCTTTGCCTTAAACAAAGAAATAATCACAAGACTCATATCTGATACAAAGGGGTTCCGATTATATTTCATCCATATAAGGATTGTGCACGATTTTTTTTCATCGTTAAGATATATCTTAAATAAATGTCGGAAATCCTTGGGTCGGACGCAACATTAGTATACTAATTAATTCACAACTTAGAGGGCTTCCTCAAATGAACTATTAAATTTCCTTATCGTAATTTTTTCATGTATGAACTTGATATTAGTTCAAATTATGACAAACCCAAGCGCACTCGATGGAATTTTTTTCATGTCATTGAAAAGTATTACTGACATCTTACGTATAGAGGTCTCCTGCTTGTACAAATGTAATATACCTTTACCAAAGGTTGCGCAAATCAAAACAAGTCTCATTTACAGCCTTGTTTATCTTTGTTTGACAAGGGGGAAATATCTGTCAACTCAAGTTTTTACTAGCTCCGTAGAAAGGAAATTTCTTTTCTCAAGGGCTTCAACCAAAAATTAAAGAAGGTAAAACAAACCTCTTGCCGCGTTAAAGCCTTGTTTTTAATTTCCTTAATTTGTTATTACAAAACTCTTACAATGAATATGACGTTCGTAAATTAATATCTCTAACAGAAGCAAATTGCTCCTTAAGTAATGACGCATGGGAAAAGAAATTGGGCCTTAGTGTTGGTTTGTGCATTTTCTAAAAAACTGAAAATATGGAAGCATGTTTTGCTATACCTATGTGAGTTAGAGCACTGTCTGGCCGATGAATCCATAATAATTAGCAACCATGATATTTTGTAGCTTCCCTTGTTAATTTTCTTGCAACGGAAGTGACAAAAGTACACCTGAGGGTTACTTGCGCTAAATTTGGATATTAGTCAGTTTATAATCTCATGGAACTTAAAACCAAGATTTAGGTAGAGGAAGTCTGTAAGCCAAATTAACGCTTTCTGATCGTGCAAAGACCGGTTCTGTATTTACAGGGCAGAAGCGAGGCGAAAGGGCAATCCGTACGCAAGTATAACACTTTTTTTCTCCCGGATGTTCGTGGGTGGCAAAAGAATTTGCTAATTTGTCAATTCTCAGAACGTTGGATCATCACAAGACATTGCGACAATCAATCTGATGCCTTCAGCTTTGACTGACGCAAAACTCTCACGTTCTCGTTCCAGTTGTGGGTGAAAAAATGTTTGCTTTGTAAGTACTAACGACAATATCATCTCTGTTCTATATTGACTGCCGCCATCGAATGGAGACCGCAACTTCGTTCACATCTTTCTCTAATACCACCGCTTCTCCGGTTGCCGATTCAATCTCGGTCGCCTCACTGCTGTCTGTTGTCGCCATGGGTTGCACAATGGTGTTTGCAATTTTCGGAAACGTCTTGGTGATCTTGGCTGTGCACCGCACAAAAAGCCTACGAACTACGGCCGCTATCCTTGTTGTGAACCTAGCTTTGGTGGATCTATCGATCACCGTTTCAATCGTGCCGTTTGTTATGACGCTAGCTGTCACGCAAGAATGGGTTTTGCCTTGGGTAGTGTGTCGTCTCACGGGCTTCATAAATGCTTTCTTAACTGCAGGTCAAATCTTGGCCCTGTTTCACATCAGCGTAAACAGGTATATCGCTGTGGCTTACCCTCACTCGTATGAAACTCGTTGCAACAAGCGAGGCACTATATGCACTGTGCTGCTAGGATGGTTGTTTTCTTTAATCTGGACTACGCTTCCGTTTTATGGATGGGGCAAGCTCGGATTCATACAAGGCACTTTATTTTGCAACATACTATGGTCCGCGAACATGGCCTATGCAATCACTGTGCATGTTGTATGTTACTTTATACCATCCATTCTCTCCGCAGTGCTGTATCTGGGAGTCTACAAACATATGCGATCGCAAGGGAAGCGAATATTCCAGCAAACATTTAGCTTAGAATTGACACAGAATTTGGACAAGGAAAGAAGTGAATCAACAATTAGTCGCAACATCGGAGAGGAGAACGTACCCAGAACTATATCCTTTGACAATCTCTCAATATCAACAGATAACATTATTAATTCAGGATTTTCGGATCTTAGCGAACAATCATCAGCGTCCACTCGAGCGAAACGAAGCAGACGTCGTAAATTAATGGAAGCCCGAGTCACAAAAGTGCTTCTTGCAGTTGTTATGGCGTTCGTCTGTTGTTGGATTCCGCGAGGAATCGCGAACCTCTGGGCGATCTTCGTGAGCCGCAAAGCCGTCCCACGCGCGCTCGAGTACAGCTCGACCGTGTTGGTGTTTTTCAACGCGGCAGTGAACCCTGTGTTATACGGCGCTTTGCACCAAGATTTTCAGCGCGCGTTTCGAAGGATAATCTGTTGCGAGCCAAACATGAACAGAGGCAGGGCTGCCACCAACATGAGCTTATCAATTCGGTGACGTCAAAGTCGGAGATGTACCGCACATCAAGCGAGTACTTTCCACTCTTCTCCCAAGAATAAACCGTCTCAAAAATGTCTCAGTATCAAAGGCAATCATCGTCTACCTGTGAGCAGAAGCCGTAAACAGTGAAAAAAGGAATTACTGACAAGTGGACAAGGTTGGCTCAAACTGAATCGGTGGAAAACCATTGTGCTAATATACTCTAAACCACGTTTCTCTTCTATTCATCAGAAAGTTTAATTCTTCACCCTTTTCATCTTTCCATTGACTGATTCAATAAAAATATATATATAATTAAAGTCATCCTTTCGTTCAAAAAGAAGAGCTAATATTTTTACTTAATCATGCATACGAACATACGGGCAAAGCCTACCTCGCTAACGAGTTCTTTGCAGCTCAGTGAGCAGCGACAGCAAAATCAGACGGTTTAAGGTTAGATTCATCGCATCTTCAAGTCAAACAAATTTGAATTTCGAAAACGTGATCATGACGTCAAAGAACCCCGAAGTACTAAAATCCTACAAATTACTACCGGGATATTAATCAACAATCAAATTATGACCTCCAGATTTCTATTTCACCCTTATCTGCTATCACGCAAAGAAATCGAGAGAAAATAATCGAATTGTTTCGGAATAAATCTACTTGTCGTTTAAAACTTAACAAGAAGGCTATTGGTTGCGGGCTTATTCGTTCACAAGCTCACACTTTTTAGGTTAATCACTTTACTCACAACCTATTTTACAAATGGATTATGCATGAGCTCCAGATTTTCTCCCGCATGATAGTAAAAAAACAACGAAGCCTAGGATTAAAGCACCGGTAGTTATTTAAAGCTTCGCGCCAGCTTTAAAACTTTCGTTAGATTCTCCAAGCAGCACAAACCTCAATGCAGCTCTTTCAAGACGAGGTTTTGCTGTAATTGAATTTTTTGTCGCTCAACTAAATGAAGTAAACTACATGCTAAGAAGGACGCAGAAATCTTTTAATTTGATACGGTCACGTTGTTTGTAAGGCTTGTGAAAGGTTTTCCAGACTATTACAAAAATAACTCGTCCTCAAACCTGTCTATCTAACGTTTGCAAATGTCTCCTAGACAAAAAACTGCTCCTAATTATTTAGAATTTTTAAAAGCTGTTTTCATTAGTTTTTTTAATCGTTTCGCTAACTTGATCTTTTGTGAACTTTTTTTAAGAGTCATTTTTCTCTACCTGTAAAAAAAATGAGAAAAATTCCTAACTTCTACATCTAAATCTGATCTTATCATAACGATGGACGCTAAACCACGCTTTCCAGTCCAGCGTGAATGATTGGTGGGTACTGCACGGGTTTTTCGTGATCACAGTTCGCGGTGGTGTTCAAACAATTAATTGGCGTCAGAGATTTGTTCAAACACAACTCCACATAGCTTAACATCTGCACAGAATTCTACAAGAGTAAAACACAAAAAAGAAAGGAAGACACATGTTAAAGGCTGAAATACACTCTGTCCCAAACGTTTTAGATCCTGTCTCGTCCAAAGATCGTTCTTGCGATCACTTATATGGTAAAAATGCGTTATTGACAAAGTCTGTTCAGTCAAGATGGCTGAATATTAGTCTCCTTCTTTTTTTCCGTTTTTATTTCGAAATTAATTCAGAATTGATTTCGAGAGCCGGGAAAGAAAGCCACCTGTGTTTGTAGCACAATAAACCCACGAGAATCGTTTCTGATTTCTTTGTTTTGCTTTTTGCGACTCCATTGCCAGCGTTGCCCAAAAATTACGAACTTTGTAAGTCCGCTCCAAGCAATTTTTTTGTCGCGCGGGATCAGAGCGGGCAATCTCTAGCGGACGAGATAGGCCCATAGTGCCCTCTCGGGTAGCCAATCAGAACACGAGATATATTTCATATCGCCCACGGGCGCTGCCAACGATATAATAATAATCCTTTCCGTCACTCCCTCTTACGCTCGGCGCTTGGCGCTTCCTGTACAGCTGTGATACTGCCCCTCAACGAATTCGCAATGAATCAAACATTTACAATAGATGAAAAAACAATGGGTAGTTTTCTTACCTTGACAGGCAGGCAGTAGACTGTAGGATGAACTTGAAAAAACTCGAACAGGACAGCGTCAATATCTCCCACCTTGAAGCAAAAAGGACAAGTAACTAATTAAGAAAATCATGATTTCAGTTAGCCATTCATGATTGTCCACAAGATATCTCGTCTCCACTGAATTTTTTTTAAGCATTTCAACGACAAAGAAATACCTTAGACATAAATAAAAATATGAACTATTCAGTTGCTTATTGCATTCAACTGTTTACACTCTTTCACTGATGAATGAGGGAAAACACGTGTTCCTTGCCTACGCCACGTGCAGGCAAAATTTGTTTCTTCCCGCTGCCCAGCGTGGGGACACATGACTTGCTTAGATTAACGGCCAAATGAAAGAAAACGTATCGGAGATGACTTGTGCTAGAAAAGGGTAACAGGAAAAGGTACGAATGTTGAGACAGTGTCAAGTTAAAGAGAAAAAAGAAGCATTTATTACCAGAAATGCCGAGAGCGGGAAAACGGAGGAAAGCGAGGGTGAAAAGTGACAAGAGCTGGGGCCGAGTCTGGGAAAACGGGAAAACCACTGTCTGCACAAAACACAGCAAAGCGTAGACACTCTGTTGCTCAGACTCTCCTCAGATAAGGGACACCAATTCATGCAATCTGGGTTATATCAGCTACAAAAGGCCGCTTTTTGGAACAGATCAGGTGAAACACGATGCTTGAGAAAACCCCTCAAAGTCAAAAAAAATCATGAGCAATTTCACCTCAAATTCCCTACCTGGTAAGTTTTGTCACCTGTTGGTTCAATTCCTCCCTTTTTTAGAGCACTGCAGAAAAAAAGAAACATAAACTCAAAAACCAAAAAAAAAAAAAGCGAAGACAAAAATGTCAATAAAGCTACAAAGAAGTTTCCCACAACCAAAAAGGGGACCAGTTTCGACCAGTTGCTGGATCAAGTCTACCAAAATAATGAATTTTTGGTTTCAGTTTAGCTCACTCCTCACCCGAAAATGTCGTACATGATGTTCAACGACAGGCAGACTTGGAAGTATTTGTGCTCAGAGTTCAAGAATGGAAGATTGGTTGCACACGTGCCATGCTTCTCCCATTCGTGTTTCCTGAGTAAGAAGCAAAGAACAAAAAAACTGGAGATACTGATAAAACAGACCTTCTACACGTAAAAAATAAATATTTATTCGCCAAAGATGAGGCAAATACCCACCACTTTCAAGACAGCGAAGAGAACAGCTGTTTTATTACATGCCACAAAAGAAGCAAAAAATTAAACTATTGACGAGCGATTTAGTCTTTTCGGCGGCAAATAGGTGAATAGTAATTTCTTCAGTTATCACTCAGGGCTGTTTATGAGGGCTGTAGACAGTAACACTTGTTGTAGCTGAGCTCACTTGATGTCACACTTTGTCACGTATGAACACAACATACCCACCACACCCTTACCAGAATCCCGCATCATCACCAGGAGTTTCATAAGATGGCCACTGAAGCAATAATTTTTGTTTCAAATCCTAAAAAAGGGATGCAACATACTCTCAAGTTGCCATGTACAACCATCATTTCAAATCAAAATTCATAATCAAACAACGGCCAAACTCTGTTAACATCAGTTGCAGATATCTTTGAAAAGGGCTTGTATGTATAAGTAACAAAATGATTTTGAGTGCAATTGGGTGTTAATAAGCACGGGTAAATTTTTCAATGCATGTTGTTACTTATTAATAATTTACATGAAAACATACAAAGAAAGTCAAGACAGATGAAATTTAAGCAGTACACACTGCCATAATTTTCACTCCTGTTACAACTTTTCACTTGTGTTACGTGAAAGATGCACTTGTTTTCAGCCAATCAGACATGTATAATTTTTTTCATGTATATTAGAGGGGAAATAGGTGGAAACATTTTACAGTCTGCCAAAAGATGTGCTTATGAGTAAGGGAGGACAGGTGGGGGTGTATAAATGAGGGGTGAGGGTGCTGAAGAGTTAAGTTGGGGTTTGAAAAACGTATCACCATGCCTGAGAGCCCCAACGCCCATGAATACCAAACCTCAGGTACAATGATTTCTGAAAAAATCCTGATGAAGAGGCCTTTGAGTCTTGAATTTAAATTACCTCAATGCTTTCCTCATCAAAGGGCCAGGACTTGTTACAATACACAGGTGCATGTTCTGTACCAATAGTTGGCCTGCAAGGAACGAAAAATTATCTGTTAGGTATGAGTTTAGCAGGAATTTGCTGCAAATAATCTTCAATTTTCTCTTTGATGGTTTCATGATTCTTGACGACAGGTGTCTAGATGGTGGGATGGGTGGGGGAATTCTACACAGGGAAGGGAGAGAGACCTGGGGATGAGAATCTTCCCTTTTCCCAGAATGCAGAGCATGGGAATAGTCCTAACATGCCTGTGACCCCCTTTTCATAATATGAATGAATGCCCTTTAATTCTACTTAGCACAAACCCTATACAATGGAAAATACATGCACCAATCATAAGAAGCTTCACCTCATGAAAAACTGTGCAACCCCTGGTAAAAAAACCTGGCTACAACCTTATTCCTATGCAGTGCTCCCTCTCCCCTGCACTTTTGACACCCAGCACCTTCTTTCACAACATTGTTTTCTTTCTCCCCTGATCCTCTTCCCAGATAGTGCACTTTCAGACCTATCCTTACCCATCTCCTGCATTCTTCCCATCCCCTGCCCCCATTCAATTGATTGTCGAGTGTCAAGAAAAAAGAAAACACATTACCAGATCTGTACGCATGTAAAGATACTGATGATAGTAATAATCGAAAAGATGATGAGTAAAAAGCTTTTGAGATGTTGTTGTTCTGTGCTCATTTACCATACTATATATTAATTATATTATGATAATCATTTCTTTTGTCAATGATGATGATGGGATAATAATGATTTTAAAAAACAATTTTTACCACAAGCCATGGATTGTCCATTTAGAAATTCCTGAAGGTACGCAGGTCTTGTTCTTTACAGCATCCTTAAAAACCAAAAAAACACAAACACAAACACAAACAACAAATCAAAAATAGAAGAATAAAGAAAGATGTTTTTCATCTTGTCACAAGTGTGGGACAAAGAAATCAAAATCAAAAATAGTATAAAATACAATTCAATACAATACTTCATTCAAGAGATACAAATAATAATAACAACAGAAATACCTCTTGAAATGGAAATCATGAGGTTATCTCTATATGTGACAATTCCCATAAATAAAAAGTGTAAATGATGTATACAATCTATTAAAACCTAATTACAAGCTGTAATAAAATGCAATATCAATTAGTTTCCAGGTTAAAAATTGTAAAACATATTAACATACTAAAATAAGAAATCTTTTAAAATTTATGATAATATCATGGTTTGACCTTGAGCTAAACATCATTGGGCAAAGTTATAAACTGATAACTTAATCAACTCAGGTAAATAGCAGGCATGTGATGTGATGAGCAAGTTTTAAATTTTTTGATGTTGTGCTATTTTGATTGGTGAAATGGAGGAAAGTCTAAGATGACTTAACCCTTTAACTCCCATGAGTGACCAAGAGAGAATTTCTCCTTACAATATC